TAAACTCTCCATTATATGGAAAAATCATGAAACAAAAACCTGTTTTTTTCATATGTGGCACCCGATTATTTCCTGCGTGCATCCTAGTAAGCAAAAATGGGAAAGTTCCTTATTTTATTTCCCATACCATTCAATATTCTATGTACTTCTTATATGCCTTCATTCCTGTCAGTTCTCTTCGTAACTTGAGATTTCATTTCTTCTTATAAAGAAACTGCTACATCCCTTTCATCATCACCATTATCCTTCCTTGTGCTACTACTTCTAGATCTGCTATAACCTTTGAGAGGTACGCAGAAGTATCACAGCTGTACACTCTAACATAATGATATTTGCTGATTTATTTCCTATTTCTCTTTAGAAATCATTTTTAAACCTGCTTCACTAGACACAAGTCTACAAGTGCTGACAATAATCTGCCTCATACGCAAAATAATAATCTGCCTCATACTCAAAATAATAATCTGCTTCACACTCAAAGCAAATGCTTGATGTTAAATGTCAGAGTTTGCTACCTCAAGACAGCAATTTCCAAGCTGAGGTGGCCAAACAATCAGCAGTTAGCTCCTTACTTGAAGCTAGTTCTTCCCTGTGCCTACCTGCTCAGCAGTATCAAAAGGTAAATGAGGATATTCATTAAACATATTCTTCACCTGAAATACCTCACATGAGCAATTGCTTTAATTACTAAAGTGATGAAAAATAATTACAGAGGAAAATTCTGCAATCTCAGACTAGGCAAGATATACCCAAGGGAAAGTCATCATTATAACATCATCCATGTGTTACAAAAGCCAGTTGAGGAACCCTCGGTGCCATTGGCTCCCTTCTTTCCAAACCCTCGCTAGATGTATGGGGCATAGTCAGACGACCGAGCAGCTTCCCTGTCTTGCTTCTGAACACAATACAGAGGGGTCGCCCACCATAGATGTGCCTCCTTTAAGAAATCAGAAAGTCAATGTCCCTTTATGGTATAGCAGATGAGTTAAATATGTTTCAGCATGGCACATCAAGAAGCCGAGAGACACGATGCTCTGTAATTAAATAATGCTTTATATTGGTTCGTGACAACGTAACACCAAGGCGACAGCACCTGCCATTTTCATGCAGAGTAATTTACATAAACTTATTCCTCTACTTCCATACCTCCAGCTGCATTCCATAATTTATACAGACACACAAATTCTTTCCTCTGACATTAACAAGAGAAATGAGTTGAATAATCAGCTCACAGTATTAAGTGCATTGCATTTACTATCAAGAAAGCTTTTTTAGTTCAGTGGATGATTAATTTTCCCTCTGCGGGTAGAGTACCAGGAGATGCAGAGAGCTGACAATTGCTCTCGGCTTCTGGCCACACGCTCCATACGCTTACCTTGCAACAACAGCATTTGCTGGATCCCTCCAAGAGCCACTCTGATTCATTAACCCAGCAAAAGGAATTAGACAGCTTTCTGCCAGGTCAGTGAATTAAAGTGGCTCATGTAAGGAATGCCAGAGCCAGTAAATAGGAGTTTGCGCTTGGAGCCAGATCTCTCCTTTCTGACAGCAGTGAATCTTTAGATCAGCTCAGCTGCCAGAGGTACTGCAGCCTAATTAGCATCTCTGCTTGCAGCCATCCGTGCTGGGTGTCTCCATTAGGGATAAGCTCACTAATGTAAACCAAGAAGGGGGAAGAAACCAGGCGACCCTGCACCGTTGATGCAGAGCGTCAACGGTTTAAGAGACGGGCTGCAACAGGCACAGCGAGTAGGCCAAATATGGTCTGGTACCTCAGTCTATTTTCAATCCAGGTCTTTCAGCTGTGCTTTTAGGATAGTATCAAGAGAAAGGACAGATGCTTGGAGATGAAGACCGGGAGACCCACATGCCAGGCAAGAAACAAAGCCCCACAGATGAGGCTTGATCCCAAAATAAAAAAAGATTCCAAAATATTAAGCTGTTTGTATTACACCACCTATTGTGCCAATTTCTTTTCCACACCCCTGCTCTGAGAGCTTTAAATGCTTTCCACTACACTCAGACCTCCAGAACCAAGCTCATCCTTAGCTGATGACACCAACCAGTCATTCCCCTTTGCTCAGGGCTTTTAGACAGCGTAGGAAGGCACGGACTTTGACTCTCAAAGTTTATTTTACTTAAGTTCACTGCTGATGTTTGACCTCAGGCTTCCAGACCACTGTCTATTAACTCAGACACCACCGCTAATCTCAGATCATTCAATCTGACTTGCCTGCCAGAATGTGCCAAGTTCCTATGAAAAGGTACTTCCCCCTCCATGTGTTAGGGATCCCGTTACAGACCCCATTACATTGCTGCGTAACATCTTACCAACCCAATGAAACTCCCCTTTCCATGAGGGACTTTTAAGCCACCCCATATTCTCTGTTACTTTTGTAATTGTCCTAAAGGCTACCAGCCTGAAAAGCAGAAAAGCCTTGCCATCTGAGCACATCTTTCGCTATCTCTTTCTGTTCTGCCAACTGGACCAAGCAGAAGGCCTTGTTCTTAAAAGCAAGGAGAGACCTTATCTGTCTGGCTGAAGGAATTTCTGAATTATCCCGCGGGAGCACAGGCTTCAAATCAGCAGCTAAAAAATCCACCGGCTGTTTGGTCTGGGTATCACCTTCACACACATGACAGCAGCTGCGTTTGTCAGTCACAATAATGGGAAGGAAGGATCATGTATCACCTGCAACAACTTTTTGCTCTATTAAAATGAGCACTGTCATTTGAGCAAGACAACAGAATGGTAAAAGGAAAAGATGCCTTAAAGCACAGCAATCTAGTCCACATGGACTGAACATGTACGTCAAGCAAGTAATAACTAGCATATGCAATGGGCAAGATGCTCGATGTTAGCTTTAGATGTTCAAGGTGAAATAACCAACCTGTTCTGCTGTATTTTAATAGTATACTTTAACTGAGTAACTATTGAGCCTTCTTCCTTCCCCTCGTTCCTACATCATTAATACTGAGAAAGAGAAAAGTTACAAGCAATTACATCCCAAGGCAGCCCACAGAATCAAAATAACTTCATACAGAAGGAGTCTTAGACAGAAAGATAAAGGGACTCAGAAGATCCAGGACCTTGTGCATGTGAAAGTCTGGTGTGTGAAAGGCTCTTGGCTGAGGCACCTTCCCCCTGCCCCTGGATTTCTTCACGTGCCACCACCTGGGATCCTCTGGGTTTGATCACTCCCAGCCACAGCAGCAGCAGCAACGCGCTCCTTTGCACCCTTACCCTTTCCCAGCCAGCTACGCTCCATGAGCCCAACTCTGCATGCTCAGCTCGCACATCTTTAACCACGTCAATCGGTCAGACCAGACGTGCCCACCTGTTTCCAACAGCCAGTACAAGCGTTATGTGTTATTCAGCCTGTTTCTCGGATAACTCCTGCCAGTCAGGCTCACTCCACAGCCTCCTAGCAACACTGCTGCCTCCCAGCAGTCTCCCAGCAAAGCTTCCCCCCGCACCAATGGGCTCCCAGTTCCTCCTCACAGACTGGCCAGCCTCCCAGCACACTGTGGGCTCCTCGGAGCCAGCATAAGTTGACAAAACACAGAGCCGAGACACAGAGCTCGGCCCTGCAGCACCACGGAGATGGCTCCTAATATGGAAGAGGAGCAGGAGGGTTGGCAAGAGCTTACATCCAAGGTCAAGGCTCATATCATTTCCATTAAAAAGAAAACTCTTAAGCTCTGGGCAAGGATGGGAACAGCAAAAATACATGGGGAAAGCCACTGCCCTGTTTTATTCCCCGTTTCCAGCTTTCCCATCCAACTGGCAGTGCTCAAGACAGCTGTTTGCTGGAGACGCGCAGCCCAGATCTTACGGGCTGAAACGACATCGGACAATCTGGTACTAAAATGACGACTTGCATTTCTGCACACTGCACCAGCTCTAAGTTTGATTTCCAGTCTGATCTCTTCTCACCTAGGTTTGTGTTTGCTGAGTAACGCACCTGAAGTTCCTTTTATGCACTATCAATGTGCTTTACCGGGTTCGTACTCTTTTTCTTCTTCAAGATGCTGAAGTTGTGGCATTCCCAGGTTGAACTCAGTAATAGCAAAGTCATAACCAGCAGTGTCAACCACGCAGCCGCTGCCCACTGCAGAAGGAGCAGAGATGCACTCCGGGAACCATGCACACTCGAGCTGGCACTATCAGTTCTTCCAATCGTTGGCACGGAATTCACTCGGTACTTAGAGGGGGAAAAAATAATCTCCACGAGCCAAACACCCAACTACAAGCAAAACTGAAAGCATTAAGAGATTAAATCCACCCCTAAGCACCAAAGGCTCTCACCATAAGGCTCTTTATTAGGAAGTTAAGTCTTAACAAGTGGCTTAAGAGGTGGATAAAGCTTTTCCTGGGATAATCTGCCAGCATGTTGCCCAGTGCCAGTTCCAGGCCATGGGAAGAAGCAAGCAAAAAATTTAACAAGGTGAAAATCTTTGTTTGGCAAATGGATGCCCAGTAGCTGAGAGATCCTCTCCTATCTTCACCCCCTGCCACCTTCAGAAAGTCCAAGAAAAGTATTTTCAGGAAGCTAGCAGAGTAGAACAACAAAAACACATTGGGATTACACCTACAATGCATGTGCTCGCCCTAATCCTTTGTACCGTCAACGTTCCAGAATTTGCCTCCATCACATTCATTTGAACTGTTCGCCAATTAACACAAGGTAATTAACACTTTTGTAAAGAACTGTCTTCCAACAACGCCACCACGGTAAAAACACCACGATCCCAAGTACTACTGCTCTTTGCAGACACCAATTTACAAGGGAAACATGCACAAGGGGAAAGACAGGAACCTAGTAATGGAAGGTCAGAAGCTATGTTTTGTTTATAATTCTCTCCTTTTCAAGTCTACCACTGATTTGCCACGTACTTAAAAAAAAAAAAACAAAAAACAATCAGCCATCTAATCAATGGCTGCTTTTTTCCCCAAAGCACCGTGCTGCTCTCCTGGTTCTGCACCCTTCTGCACTTACTGCAAGAGATCCGTTCTGCGTGCTGGCCGTGTTCGTGCTCTGCTCTCCATGCGGCTGCGTGCTTCCGTAGAGCGTCAGATTGTGCTCGCTGGTCTGGCCTGCATAGTCCTGAGTGTGTGGCACCCCATACTCTGTGGGAATCCCGTTCTGTGGGGGTGGCGGAAATGGGATTGTGGTGAATGGCTGCACCATTGCATCAGGAGTTGCTGCTGGCTCCTGGTTACCCTGAAGAAAGGGAAAAGGAGAAAACAGCTTTATACTACAGAAGATGCATCAAAACATCAGCCTGAAAAATGATACACGCACACTCGTGTTCATGTGAATATCCCACCCACCGCCACCATAATATTGCACAATCTTCTATTATCTTCCTCTATCAAAAAGAGCACGCCTTGCTCCTCTCAGCCACGACGCTGTTTTCTTAATCTTTTTTGGGCAACTTTCTCACTACTGGGTGGCATATGGAGAGCAAATTACAGGGTCTGCAAATTGCATACCCCCGTAATCTCACATAAGGCTTTATGCACAGTAAGGCATTATTTTGGAAGATGGAAGAGGCACTGAAACATTGGAATAGAGAAGGAAACACAGATATAAGAACAGGGTTCTTTAACATCCCTAAAAGTACCTTATCTGGGTTCATCTCCTCCAGCCTGACCCTCATGGCTCTGCTCACAAGCAAGCACATTGTGTGGTTCAGACCACACTTCTCTGTTGTGTTACAGTAATAGAAAAGTATACTTTTTAAAACCCATCTGTGCAGCAGCCCCCTCCTTTGCTCTGGCAGCACTGAGTACAGAGCACGGGTGCTCAGGTATCAGTTGCTGGAATATCCCATTTGTTTCTTGCTGGCCGTGCAGAAGACACCGAAGAGCTGTGAGGAACTGAGTTGAGACCGCAAGCCTGGAGCACACTCACTTTCTCCTGAGCATCACTACCATCACACAAGGCATTAATTACCTGCTCCTCCCTCATCTTAGGACATCCCACAGAGACCTCTGGGCTAGGAAGTAGACTTCTTAGCAGCTTTTAGCACTGCCTTAGATGTAGCTCACACCAACCAGATGACTCAGACAACTGACCATGCAAAAGGCACCCCCAAAAGACAATAAAAATGCTACCCCACCACGTCTGAAAACCACCCGAAGCAAACATGAAAGCATGCAGCCCTGCAACGACTGCAGGGATCTCACCGGGAGAAGAGCAGGGAGCTGCATTCAGCCACCTGGGGCGAAGGAGAACAGCCTTGACATTGAAGCCCAACCCTGGGAAGCCCAGGCTGCTGCACTGCTCCTACTGCTTTCACTGCCGCAGCAGGAAAAAAAAAAAAATCCACGGAAAAGATTTATGATAGGAGGCTGTTTGATTTATGTGTGTGTCAACAGACTAATCCTGATTTTAAATTTTGGCTGCTGTTCCAGCCCTGGGTCCTCCCTCACAAAGCCCGGAGGTGCTCGAGCCTATTCTGGCACCAGCATGCTTAAATCAATGGAGTAAAAGCAAAGCAGACCTTATCCCGCAGGTAGGAAAAGCGGAGTGGGAATTACCAAGCAGGCTTTCAGCAGAGAGCGTGCAAGGGCTGCCGGACCTTCAGTAAAGCCGGACAAACCTTTCAGTCCCTTTATCAGCCTACCTGCAACTTTCTCTTCTGGGCGAAGGAAATAACGACAAATGCAGCACACCTCCAGCCAGCACCGGGTCAGTCAGACACTGGCTGAATCCCAAATTTGCTCTGACATTAGTCTATCTGGTCTGCCTCCCTTGGGGGCCACGTGGCCGCACGCTCCCGCAGCTGGGGAGAAGGAGAGGGAAGGGCATTCAATACCACTTAGCGGAGCTGAGCTGCAGCCTTGGCCCGCGCCGAACGATGGACGGTTTCATTAACTAAAGTCCAGCCACTGCAAAGCCTTGCTGCCTGCAGAAACGCAAAACTCCGCAGCCTTATCTGAGAAAGAAAAATTCAGGCAAGCGTGCCAGCCACGGCCAGGGCTCGGCTCCTCGCACGCACTCCCCTGAGCAGTTGCAGCCCTGCGTCGCGTGCTAGCAGCTCTGCGGAGGTTTTTCACACACCGAGCACATCTCCTGAAAGCAGGACGCGTTGTTTTGGTTTTGTTTTTTTTTTACCCCCCACCCAAAAGGGAGGGCAGCCCCACCAGCCCTCCACTTCTGCTCACTCCTTTTCCCATTCTCAGCTTCAAAGCAAGGAGCTTCTGACTCGACCTAAACCATCACATCTGCAGGGTGAGTCTTACAAACGGGAGGGATGGAGAAGAGGCTTACCGATGGCTGTCCCACTGCAAACCAGGCACCAGCAACCCCAACGCTCCCCTACTTGGGACTGTTTATCCCCTGTCATGACAGCTCCACTCTGCCTGCATACAGCCTCCTTCTCAAGCTCTTTTCCTTAGAAGATTTCATTATATCCAGTTGTCTGTGTGCTGCCATACAGCCCACGCTGCCTGCCCCTTTCTTGTGTTTAAAATAGGAGCCAAATATGAAACTGATATTTTCTTTTTTTTTTTTTTAAATTTCAAAAATTGGTAGGGTAACCCCAGGAAAGATGCAGTAGCAGAAACTGTTTTCAATTTTCTTAGAACAAGTCAGATTTACAAGCTGGTAGTACCCCGGACAGGAGGAAGAGAATGCTAATTAGCCACAACCAAAACCTATTCTGCCATCCTCTCCACCGTGCAGGGCTACTCCCCAAAGGACATATTCCAGCGTTTTGTTTAATCTCACTCTTAGACTACTTAAAATGCCAGCCCATAAACCTTATATAATCTTATTTTCAACGTTTTTACCCCTCAGTTAATACTGTTCCTTTCCAGTTTAAACGCATTTCAACCTTTTAAATATTTTCACTCCCTTCTGCAATTATCTACAAATGTTTGAAGGATGAAAAATGCTCTCCCTCTCTTCTGTTGCTTGTGGCATTTTGATAATACATATTTATTTTGAGCTTAATCACACCTCGCAAGCCAAAATATCCTAGTAACTTTATTCATTACTTCTCCCTGATTTTCCTAAGATTTTCAAATAAGAAATTTCTAGTGCAGAATGTAATGTTTTTAATACCATTGTTGCTTTCCCACCCCCCAATAGCACTAACATGCAAAAATCATATCTTTTATTACAAATGTATCCTTAATTTAATGTCTCAGGTTATCCGTAGATCTATCACCATTATGCTTGTCCAGGCTTCATCATCCAATGGAGTATCTGTATCTCAAATTATTTTTCTCTTGATATGATTATGTACACGTTTCCCATCTGAATTTTTTTTGTAATTTTAATTTCCTTTGATGCTTTACAATTACTTTTTTTCTGTTTCCACTAGTGTCTGCAGAAAAGGACTCCTGATGAGATCTCTGCAGGTTTCACAGCATACTGATATCTTCCAAACCCAGAGAAGATTCTACCTCTTCTGTTATTCTACCGAATTTCAACATTTACACAACACTTCATATTTTCAAGAACTAACACAGCGAGGAAAAAAAAAAAAAATTATCCCATTT